AAGATTGTTTTGCGTTTGATATAATGGCATTGCAACCACAAGATAATAGGATAGTACAATTTACCGACTACATATTAGAAACATATATAACCGACGACGCGGAGTTTCCACCACAGATATGGGCTGAATTTGTATCCTCAACGATGCGCACTACAAATAATTGTGAATCATTTCATAAAAAATTAAATAGTTCGTTCAATTCGTCACACCCAAATATATTTAATTTTATTGAAATTTTAAAAAACATGCAATGTGATACGTATATTATATTAAGAAGTCAGGGAACAAAAAGCAAAAAAATGACTGATAAAGAATCATTTATACATGACAAAATGTATGAATTGCAAGCAAAAAATATTACTCAGTTAGACTATGTGCGGGAATTATCTTATAAGTTTTTACCAGTATATTAATTCGAATTTTCATAATACTATTTTTTTCACTATACACATTTTTACTTATTTTTAATTATAAACAAAACAGCAAAACCAATATTTTTAACCATACCAATATGAATACAATTATATTGCCAATCCTAAGTCTGAAAAATGGGAAGGAAAATATTGATTTTGTAATTTACATAACAATGACAAATATTTAAGTAGGCAAATATATTAAAATATACAAATATAATTGGCCGCAATTTACGTATGTATATAATATACCCGGGCCGCAATTTACGTATGTATATAATATACCCGGGCCGCAATTTACGTATGTATATAATATACCCGGGCCGCAATTTACGTATGTATATAATGTACCCGGGCCGCAATTTACATAAAAAATTTGAAACGGGACGCAATTTACAGCGACCCGTGTGTGACAGACGACAGTCGTAGCGGAGAGGTGAACGACTGTCATACGGGCCTTTAGAGAGATATTTTGTGTTTGTTCTGAATGCAATGCTAGACGTGTTTCCGACCATATAAATTGTGTTAAACTTTTCTTGCCATCGTTTCAGTGTTTGACGTTCGAACTATATTGGGGGGTATAAAACTATAAAATATATCGAATCTAAATTCTAGAGTCGGACGGACGTAAAACGATAAACGTATTATACTATTATGTCATTGCTCTCACTTTAAGTTAATAATGCTCTGGCCTAATTGAATTTCAGATATAGTCATTAACTTGTGTCCTCGGGGTAAGAGTGTAATACGTTGATTTTAGTGCGTATCCGTCGTCACTATCTTAATTAATAGTGTAATTTATTTAACTTTAAGTATTGGACAAATTACATGTGTATGACGCAGGTGGAGCAATACAAAATAATATAGCCATTTGCGGTTTGCTCTTTCTTCCCATAGTCCCATGGCGCCAGTGTAAAGTCGCCGCTGTTGTATTGTGAACATTGCAAAATTATGGCGAAAAAATCGAGGTAATTTTCATTAGAAAAGTCTTTCGATCTGATCTGAATGTTACCGACAAATTTAAATTTCTTAATATTTTTATCGTAGTGGCCAGGCCCGGCCAGGGGGTGTGTTAAAAGTCCTCCTGGGAATCTAAACAATTACAAGAAATACACTCAAAGAAGTAACACTAATAACATTATACGTTACACCCATTGTATATATTAATACTACTATACTAGTCATGCTTAGGCAGTCAAGCGTTTCCCTTGGTGCCCACTGACAAGGCGTCTTCTACCGTCTTACCTAACCCCAAAACATAAAGAACACCACTAACATATTTTACTATCTTTATAATATACAGTCTCAAAAAATATATCTAGACAATTTGTAACTATTTTCAATTGTTTTCGATTATTGTCTATGAAACTCAATCCTCCGTAAATATAAATTATCATTTTTTTTTTTTGATTTCTGGTAATTAAGTGGAAATCACAATATATAATATAATATATATATATTTCAGTGATAAGTGATAACCAAGAAACTTATTTTTACTTTGTTATTATAACAAAAATTCTCGGTAACCAATCGATAGCTCACCTGAGATTATTTATCTGTTCTTCGATTGTCAAACTTCGTGGAAAAAAGTAAAGAAAAAAATATCTACTTACCTGGAGATACCTTTTAGATATTGTACGTATATTGAATCTCTAAAATATAGTACCCATCTCACGGTTATGACGGTCAATTTTTTTTCATATAGTTGAGACGTATTGTATACTTACTAGTTAGGTACTCAGCCACCCGGTGTTCGGAATTATAACATTGGCAGGTTAGGTTTTTTTTTATTCTGAACACACTTATACTACATACAGTATTGTCAGTATTCTAGTTTATAAGATCAAATGATGATGAATCTATGTAATATAGCCAGTAATATTTGGTTTAAAAGTTCGGTTAGTTTTTACTTTTCATTTTGAAGGCATTAGTTAGATCAAAATACTGAATCTGAACTATTATTCAGTAATTTTATATATTTTAATTATGAATATAATTAAATCATAAATATTCTTATTATGTCACGGTTTGACCGTCCTCTATAGGTACGGTGTATAATAATATATTAATTTATTTAAAAGTTGACAAGCAGTCAGATGAGTAAATCACTTTTTATTTTAATGAATCCAATATCCATTACCTACCTAACAATAATTGATTAATGTACAAAAGGAATTGATGAAATAATTAATTCGAGAACAATTATCGTGCTAATTGCTAAGCACCATTTACGTCTACTCTAATATAGACATATCACATATAGTACCATTGTACTGCAATGGAAAACGTTGAATAGAACTACTGGGCAATGACACAATGTTGTTTTATTTATAAATAAAATAAATTTGTAATATTTTGTATTTTGAGGGCTTATATAATACGTACGATAATCGTTATTGTTTCATACTATGGGAAAAAAGTAAAAACTACTTAAAATTTTGCATATGTCGGCATATTATAATGAAATGTAAACATATTCTTATGACTGCAGCATTCAGAAGTTAAGGATTTTTTCGTTATCTGAATGGTGAACGCACACTAGTAACATAACACACTGAACAAGTGAACACGTTCGTAGAATTAAAAAAATATGCGTTTTGAAAATGCTTCTTCAGTAACAATAAAAAATACATAATATTTTCAATGAACAATAATGATCGTTTTCCTAACCGAGTACCTACTGAAATTATTAGTGTTATTTGTAAATACTTATATATAGTTATATTGTTACCTGTTATAACTATTATTGGCACAGGTTCGTGCGATCTCATTAAAATTTAAATATTCGAATTATTTAAATTTTAATTATTTACTATCCACTATTAAATTGAGAACTAAATTAATCGTACACCTGCTTATTGCCTACCTAACCTAACCTATAGACATAACACGTTTGTTTATTGCGTGAGCATCTTATATAAATGACTACAATATTCATATTATAATGACTACATATACATATTATCATACAATATTATTGCAATACGTATAGTTATTCTTAACCATCGTAATCCGGTTGGATTGTTTTCGTGGTCTACAAGAGACAATACGGTCAACTGTTGACGTTAAAAGCGGCGTAATAATAAACAATAATATTGACTTATTGTTGTACAGAGTCTACTCGAAAAGGGTCGTAGGGGCAAAATCGTTCGACCGTGTACGATTGAGGAGGATACCTTCTGCACAGACGTACAGTAATCGAATGGCGGGTAGGCGGTGGGGGCCGCGTTTAATTTATGCCGGACACTCGTCTGGTCTAGCCAGCCGAGCCGGAATTTCGACGTCCATACATTATTTTAATTCACGTTTGTCTCGTACGCACAACAATATAGGCGTCCTGCAAAACGTATAAATGCCGCGTGGTATGCGTTATTTTATTTACGGTCTCGAAACGATAAACCCGTCCCGCGCACTTCGCATTATAAAAATAATTATTTTTATGATAGTACTATAATACATATTACTATTATACGTATACGTATAATATAATATTATGCATAATATACCTAATACATATTATTATTATATGAATATAATATTATACGGGCCTCTGCAGTCTTGCTATAGTTTGCGAACCGACACGGCAGAGATTCTCTACGCGGGTAATATTATCGTACCTATTATTCAATTATTGTGTTCGGGCAATTTGATTTTATAGTGCTCGGGATGCTGACGAACGCCCTGATACCTATTTTTATAGCTTTTATACTGCGCCAATGTGGTTATGAATATTTATGTACCTACATAGGCACTGACACGCGATCAGAATATTGTGGAATGTGGAAAACGGACGGGAACAGCGGATTATTGTAAAAAAGTTGATATTTCTCAATAATAATAATATTATCATCACGCGTTATATTATGCGTCTATATATAATATTTTATACGACCAAGTGTCGGGCGGGAATACCCGGCGTAAAATTACACTGAGAAAATCGCCGGAAATTTATACAAATCGCAGAGTACAATACGTAGTATCGTGCTAATCATAGACCTATAATTAGGTCTATGGTGCATTGGTGCTAATGTTGTACAAATATAAAACAAGTGTGGAAGTCGAGGTACCTACATACTAAAATAAGAAATAACGATTGACGGCGGAATATATATAATATTATATACATATTGCTTTTGAGTTTTTAATATCACTGGATCCAAATCCTACTCATTGTGTATGCATTATGCATTTATACATTTTATTATCACGGACGCGGTGAATACCATAGTAGCTTTCTACTAGTAAAACCTCGTGGTTTGAATCGGTGTCAAAATTCAAAAATTCAAATGGCAAAAAGGTCGTTTACGAGACAATAATTTTAAAAACCACCACGGTAGGATCTACTTCACGTCATGTAGGCTTGTGGCGGGTTGTGTGTGGTCATACCACAGGGAGAGGGGCCGCATCCCATAAACAAAGCTACGGATGAAATACACCTCAAACAAATTTACCAAAAATACAAAATAATATTAAATACAACAGTCAACAATATTAACTGTCGGGGGCCCGTTCCCGGTATCGTTATTCGGATTTTTTTTTTTGTCTGCGGATTATGACATCGTACGATTACCTACTAGTACTCTGTTCTCAGACGACCGGGCGATATCCATTCAGTATTCTAAAAACAACCGGTCGCCGGCAATCTGAACGGTCTACGCAGAAAACGCGTTTGGATTGTTCGGAATTTATTATTTCGTTTTTTTTTCCTTTCTTTTCGAGTTTCGACCGTTGTTGTGTACGGTTTCGCTCGTTCGGCTCTGTTCGTGTCCGGTACTCCGGTTGCCGCCGCCGTCGCATCCGCAGCCTCCCATTGGCCGACCGGCCGGCTGTTACCTTGTCCCCGTCCGTCCGCCCGTCCACCCCACCACGCGCGCCGGCGGCACGGTACACATGTTCTCCGGTTCCCGTCAGCCGAGACCGAGTTTCGAATCCTAACCGACAATCCGATCCGGCATTCCTAGTGAGTAGTTTTGTAGTGATAAAATTCGTTTTGTTGCCGCGGAAGAATAAATAATAATCATCGTCGTTGTCTGCCGAATTCAGCATCGTTATCATGTGCCGCTGGTGCTGCGATCATCCCACGCCAGAAGGACGCAAATCGTCGGCGTGACCCGCGACAGTCCGTCGTGTTTTTGTAAGCGATCGCGAACCTCGTCGGCGGGACGTTTTGCGCGCGCGTCTCATCGTCGTCCACCTTACAACGACGGAACAGGTACAGTAATGATATCTAACGTACAGCGACGACTAATTATCGTTTAATCGGCACTCGTGCCGTAGTTAGTTAATGGTCTATAATCTAAACGATCCGCTGGGCTCTGAACGCACCTCCGCCAATTAGCGTAATTGCGCGTCGTTAGGGGTGCTCGAGCGTTTGACCTTCGCCGTCCATTCGTCGCGAAATAAAAATTGGTAATTCAAAATTATTACTCTGGCCGGGTGCGCACATTAACTTGCCGTTTGAGTGTTTGCGTTCGGAGTTTTTGGGGTTCGTTTGTGGCGGCATTATCGTCGAAACGGCCGAGCGCGCCAAATCCACTTTCTCGCCAATAAGTGGGTCGCGATCGGGGATTTTGGGGATCAACACTGTGATGCTTGGACACATTCTAAACGGTTGCGATTCGTCATGTCCCGTTCGACTTCTGGTTGAGATTATCGTGGGATTAAGGGCACTTACCTTTGTCCGCGTACTTGCCGCCAAATTTTTTTCAGTGAAATTTTTAAACCCTGAGAGTCGTTTATTACGAGCTGGTCGAGCCGATCGGACACTGTCGACTCGAGCACAGCATTTTTTTCGTGTTTTCAAAAGGAATTATCTCGTCTGGCATTTTACGTCAGGTCATAGCATAGGTACCTAGATATGGGTTTCTTAGACAAAGCGTACCTAATTATAATTAATCGTAACAAAATTATGCGTAACACCGATTATTATTTTTTACACCTGCCTAACGTTTATAAGAGTGCAGTTTTTTTTTAATCTAGTGTTTAATTGCTACTTATAATTTAACGTAATTTAATGGTAGGTAAATATTTGTTTTTAAAATATTTTTTACGAAATCAGCAGTTTTATATTAATATGTTTCTTCATACACCTTACTACTTGTCATTTTGTTAATCAATTACTTTTTTAATAAGTATTTAATCTTGTACCTACCTAAAACAATTAGGTATTTACATTTTTACAAAATTCAAAGTTAATTTAATGGTTACCATTTTTATTTCAATTAATATAAAGTTCAATAATTTTAATACATTTGTAATAACATTATTTCGAATTTTTTCCCTTCTCTAGGTATTAGAGACAATGTAAATTAACGTATTTTTCGGTAACAACTAACAACCATTGATGTTCGGTGTTTCTAATAGCTCAGGTGATAATAGTTTGACCCTCATGTTAGGGTTATACCTATAGTTGTACACCAAGTCTGAATGAATAGTGCTTAATTATTCCTAACTGATTGAATGAGTCGAGTTTAATATGTATTTTGAATTTTATTTCAAAGAATGAGATAAAATGTTAATAACAATGTTCTAGCCACACACATCGGTATTATTGTAACGATTTAATGATAACATGTTCGGAATAATATTTAATACTACCTATTAGTTAGTACCTATCTCTATATTATGGTACCTATTATTTTATTATGTAACTAACTTTGTAAATATTATATAATATAAATTTCACTAGCATTTGTTAATTTCTAATTTTTGTATATTGTCGTAAATTTGTTCTTTTTTTTTTGATAGACAGGTAGATAGGTAAGATAGGCTTAAAGTGAACCTAAGTGAAAACGTGCTAAGGCCAAATTATACCTAATTGGTTAATGCACAAATTTCATTGACATTTATTCTAACTGTTTGAAGCACATGTTTAATCTAGACAGTGAAAAATTATTCATTAATTCATTATTTAACTCTTTAGCGGGCAATTTTTAAATAGGTACCTACAGAAATAATTAAATATTAAAAAAACAAAACAAAATGTAATACAATAAATAGAAAATGAAGACAGCTAAAAATCAGAATAATAAACATTAGGTACATTTTTAATTGTTAAAATGTAACAATTACCTATCAACTTAAACGCTAAATAATTTATCCAATGTTTTAATTTCACACGTAATTATTTTATAAGTTTATAGGTACCTATATTTTTTTAATTGTATTTTTTAATTTTTTTTAGATAATCAAAAAAAAAAAACAATGGCAGACATATTTTTAAAAGAATCTCCTGGTTACAACAACACATTAGTAACTACCTCAACACCTTACAAAAGCATAGATGATCATGACAGTGGTTACAATACTCCAAGTTATAATGTTTCCTCTAATCTCAGTCAGATATCCGAAGTATCTATTTCGTTCGATCATTCACCATCGGATATTGATTCACTTCAACTATCTTCACCAACTCATGATTTTACCCTGGACAAAAACTATGGTAAATTAGAAGATATTACCAATACAGTCGAGTCTCCAACGAAAAAATTAAAATTGTGCTCTGACTTACAATTTAGTTTTCGTTTACACGAAAGTTCAAACAATGATGACAGTCTGTTCTTAAAAAGAAAAAACTACACTCCACCAAAAAATGTGAACTGTGAACGTACTTCTATGGAAGGTCGAGAAAAAGTTGATTTAATGTATTTTCTGTCGGAGCGTTATCATTTCCAACCAGTCATAGAAAAAATAATGTCTTTTTTATCTGGCAGTGACGTTTTGTCAATGTCTATGGTATCTAAAATTTGGTCTACTGCTGTTGAAAATTCCCCAATTGCTCAAAAAAAAAAACAAAAGTATTTTAAGTTATCAAAAGAAAATCGCTGTGGATACGTTGGCCGAGACCGTTCAGCTTTTAATAACAAAGGATGTCTAGCAAATATTAGCAATGTTATGCGTTCTCCATCAAAAAGAGATTTACCTCAAAGAAGTCCTCCTGTCAGTCCGAGTAAATACAGATTCCATGTATTTCAAAAAGTAAGTAAAAATGTTAAAATTTATTTAATAATTTCTCTAATTTATTATACATGTGGTAGGTAGATCAGTGTTTTTCAACCCTGGGGGTCACCAACTCATTATTTAGGGTCGAGTATGAATTAAAATTGATATCAATACAAAAATTAAAAATGTCAAATAATAAAATAATGAAAAAATTAAATCAATAAATATTACAATATTACATAATACCAATACGAGTATAAATTATTATTATATCAAAACGGAAAACACACTATAATTATTTTTATAGCAAAAATCAAATATAGAAAATAAAATATATGTAAGGGGGTCGCTAAGAAATTCAGATCATTAACCAAAATATTTATGAGCTTATGAAAGCTTACTTAGCTAAATTTTGAAAAATTTGTTAATTAGTCTGTTCTTTCTATAGAACACTCATATTTATTGTAAAAATGTATTTTTCAAAAATAATATATTTTGTATAGATAATGTAATATTGACTTATGTTTTTGTTTTAGGAAGCCAAAAAATTAAGTTCAGATCAGCAATTGGTACCTTGTCCACGTTGTTCAAGGCCAGCATCATGGTCACCCTCCCAATCAACTCGAGCTGAATGTAAAGGTTTTCATTGTAAATTCATTTTTTGCACAGAGTGTAAGTGTGAATATTCTAACAAATTTGAACACAAATGTTTATCTATACCAATTTTGTCAATGTCAACATATAACAACTGTCGTCCAATGGTGTATAATATCAGTAGAAGAAAACACAACTTACGAAGATTATAAGTAAGTGTAAATTTTATCAAAACATTTTACCTCTCGACATAGTGTCTTAAAATGTTACCTAAACATTAGGAGTTGTGTATGCTTTTATTAAAAATATGTATTTGTAACAGATGAGAATCATAATTTTTTTTTATGTTGTTGTTATTAATTTAATTAATTTTTTTTTTTTAATGTTCTGACCAATTTGGTTTTTATACAGTTACTTGTTTATAATTATAATTTTTTTTTTTTTTTTTAATTTGAATTTTAATTATGTAACTAATTTATTTCACATAATTATTAATTTTCAAGTCGATAATTGAAATTATTTGCTCAAAATATTAATATATAAAGAAAAAAAAGGAAATGATTAAATGTAAGATTTTGAATTAAATTTTGAATCGACTGAACTTTTAAAAGTAATGTTACCAATGTCTTATTATCATAAGATGTATCTGTATACTATTATAAGAAAATAGTTTTAGTTGAAAACTCATGTACAAATTGATGAATCTTAGCTCTCTAATTTATTTTTTAAGTACTTTGTTTTTATATTTTTAAATATACAATTAACAGCTCTACTTAATTTTTGTATCTTTTTTATTTTAATTAGGTTTTTATATTTGCGTAAAGTGATTTTTTAATAATAATTTAATGTATTTAATATATTTCAATTTGTGTTCCCATATTTTACAACTTTACGGGTACAATTTTTTGATTTTCATGACTTAATTTTACACTTGAATCTCATATAATTTAATTTTGTATTAATTATCACTTTGTTTATTTGCCATATGGTTTTTACTAACCAGAATTTCATTAAGAATACCTTTTATATTTTATAAATATATACTTGATCAAACATTCCTCTGCTCAATTTTTTTTTTTATACTGTGAATCTTTTGTATAGTTCTTAAAAGTAAAGTAATACAAAAAGTTGAATGAACTTTATAGTTATTAAGATTTACTTAAAATTATTTTTATAAAATAAGAAAATTGTATATATATAAAAAAAAATTATTAAATTGATTTGAAATAAAAATTAATTTACATGATATTGTTTAATACTTTTATTTTTATTCTAAATGCTATTATTTATAAAATATTTTACATAGGCACTACTGTTCTTTTTGGAAATTAATATGTTACTTTATTTATAACAAATATGGCCTTTGTTTGTAAATATTTTTTTGCTTAGTAGTTTTTCAGTAGTTTGGATTAAAGTGTAGGCAGTTACAGAAATAACATGAAGTAGGAACTTGAAATCTAATGGTCTGTACATTTAAGTTGCAATCAAAATAATTTAAGATTGTCTTTTGTTGAATTTACAATCAATTAAAACATAATATTACATAATATATAAAGGAGTAAAAATCTCCTCAATAACCAAAAATGTAAAATGTTTATGTTTATATACTCTTCTATTTATTTACAAATAAATAATTTAATTAACCTATTTTAAAATGCTATGTATAATAAATAGTATCCATCAACAGACTTTTTAGCGCATAATTAATAAATATGTTTACATTAATAGTTGCATATAACATGTTACTGCTGGTAAAAAAAAAAATATGTCAATAATATATACTCAATCATACTCTCACATACATATTAGTGTGTGGTTGTGTGTATTTATGTATATTTAAATCCATATTGTGGCCCATGGCCGCGTGTTGTTTGATTATTCTCTAAGTGTAAAAGCAACCTACTTTTAATCACATCACTTTTGTTTGATCGTTGTAATGAGCAAATGTTTCAGAATAAATGTTTTGTCATCCAACTTATCTGATCTGACCGTGGCTGTAATTTGTACTCCATTGAATTGTTTCACAATTCTGCTCACCTTGTATATCCTAGTAGGTATTTAGGTATCTGATATGTGTAGCGAGGTATGGACATTATAACAGACATCCTAATAAAAACACATATAAATTTAACAGTTTAAATAAGACAGTACATTAATGGCTGTTGCTTGTTGTAATATTGAATTATTGTGTTGTACGTGCCACCTACTGTGCTATTCATTAATTTTGTCTATTAAATTGTCTTTTAATTGAACATGTGGCATGTACAAATAAAACTACTACACAGTATTCATTAATCAATATAACTATTAATTAACAGCCAAATACAGTTAGTTCCAGAACCATTGCAAATTGTTTAGTAATTGATAAATTCATTTAAGTCATTTTTTTATCATTATTATTAGCTGATAGATGCTATTTATTTATCATTTGGATCGAACATAAATTGAATTTTTAAATAATTATAACTTAAAAGCGTGGAACTGGAACAGCCTGTATTAGAATGATATTGTAATACAATTTTAATTTTTAAGACAAAATTGAATATGTTGTGTAGTTTTTTGAACAATATTATTGACAAATAGTTTTCAGTAAAATGTTTTGTTTCTTAATTAACATTATTTAATTGATAAAATATATATATATTTATTATATAATATAATATTGTCATAAAATCTAGTAGTATTTTAGTCTGAACTTATATAAATAGTTAATTTGGTTAAAAATATTTGTATGCATACTATTGGTAAATTGATCAAATATCTTAGCTATTTATTTAATGTTACCCAAATTCTAAAAGATAAATACAATAAAATTTAACTGTCCACTTTTTTAAATTAAAGCTTATTTAAAAATTTAAAATATTTTGGTAGGTAGGTACCTACTTAGATTTTAAAAGATTATGAGAGTAGATACGTAAAATACTAAAATTTTATTTAACAATATTATACTTATATATTTTTTTCTCTTCTATTTTGTCTTAATATTATTTTCTATTTAAGTATTAGGTACTAAAATTAAACCACTCACCAATAAATAGAAGATTTCTGTAGGTGAATATACAGTGATAGTTACAGATGACCGTCACCTTAGAATTTAGATCATTGTCACTCTTAGAAATAGTAAAAGAAAATATTATTTTTTTCCTTTGTGTTTAGTTATTAAAAAAGCAGGTATAGCGGTTAGTATAGCATTAGTTTTAATTTCATGCCCTGTGTTTTGTTGGCTGGTATGTATGGAACTATAGCAGGCACCCAATAATATTTTATAGATATTAGAGAAACATACGAGGCCGTGAACCCATTGTATAGCCATGCACTCCAACTAATCCGTGAACCGGCATCAATACGTGACTCAATTTCTTGACATAAGATCTTTCGGTCATGTGAACGGCCCGATCTGAGATCACATATCATACGTTTTTTGCACTCTGCATCGCATGCAGGTCTTGTTGGTGAGTTTTTCCAGTAATGCCTGTAAAAATAATTAATATATTTTATAATGCAATTTGATTATTATTTATCACAGTGTAATATTTACTTGTAATATAGATCAAATAAAGTTTGATCTTCAGCTAAATTATTAATAAACACATCCCAGTCCTCAGGCCTCAATGAAGGTAGACTATATGCCGCTTGTGTAGAATATAATTTTTGCCAGATAGGATAGTCGTATAAATTAGCTTCTTTCAAATTCATCACCCATGTTTCGTGGTCCAGCACTGCCTGCAGATAGATTAGTAAATATTATGTTCACTTGGCAAGTTGGACAATTTAAATTTTATTACTCTTGTTGAATGCTCTCTATCCCCATCTACATAATATATTCTGTAACCTGGATTGAGATCGTAGTATGGAGTGACAGAAGGACCAACATATGCAATGCTCACTGGTCTACCAAGGTCTTGTGTATCGTAGAACAGTTCAAATTCATCGAAATGGGTATGGCCAAAGAATTGAGCTGTAATTGTGCTTTCGTACCTATTGAAATAAATACTTACTCTGTAATTTAGTTTAATTTTTAATTTAAAGTAATAATTATATTTTTACATTCATATGGAACTTTTTTTAATTGATATACTTACCTATGTAACTTAAATTCAATTTAAAATTGTACACAATGTTATTTTAATTATAAAAATGTCTAATGAACCGAGTAGTTTGTAATAAATTAATATTTTAATGTACCTATTTTTTAATTTAATTTATATTTTGATATTATATAATCGGTAGGTACCTACCAGGAAAGGTACACATGACGTGCTATGTAGATATATATATTATACACATATCATTTTGTTCTATAACAAAACATTATTACAGTCATTACTCATTAGTCAGTAGACACCTAAGCATACTTCGGCACTCGTAAATCTTACTTAATCAATTTATAACTAATGTCTAATAATTAGGTAGGTGACGGAGTATGCGTTGTAAAAATAATAATACCTAGTAGTTATGACAGTTACCTAATAATTGATAGTATAATAATAATAATAATAATAATTAATACCCAGTTAATTATAATAGTCATTACAGACAGAGGCAGAGGCAACGCTTACTGGTAGAGTTTCTAATACTTGTATTAACATTCTTATGGGTGGAAATATATCTCCATCACATTGCGTATATGATTCCAAAGCTGTACATGGACGTTTGTTAATCGGTTGATGTTTCCATTTGTAGTCCATACAGATAGCAGATACATGCTACAAGTCATACACCGACGTACCTCCAATAATTACATACTTTTACGTGTCTATAATAGTCGATACTATAGTATGTAATTTTTTGTTAGCAATATACGATTTTTTAGAAATACGGGTTTTGGGCCTTGGGGGGAGGGGGGCGCCTGGTTACAGTTCATTGTAGGTACCTAGGCGCCATAATTATTGTGGTGCCGGCGAATATAATTCTAATGTAAAACCCACCTGGATATTATGGCGTAATAGTTTCGACTCCAGACTTTCAAACAATCCGGATGCCCAGGTGGTATGTGTCCCAACACGTGGACCTTTTCACCGTTGAATTCGGCATTCTGCAGCTCGTATATGAACCACTGGAGTTCTTTGACCGGATCAGTGCTGTTCATCAATAGCCACCAATTTTTGTTGTTGCAATAATTCATGTTCAACGATATTATGCGGAACCCAGGCCGGACCAATACACTGTAGAAAGCTCCGCGTTTGATGGTCCTGCTCACCGAACCAGGTAACCAACGTCGCCATTGTGTGTCCAATTCGCTATACAGCCAGTCGATGGCGTACTCGGGTTTGTTGACCAACGAAGACGGTGGAAAACTGAACATTAGATTAACATTAATACACAATAATATTATGGTCATTGGTCTGCTATCATAAAAATCATTTTAATTGTCCAAAATTCGAATATTACACTTTCAGCGCACAATATTAAACGTTTGGCACAACGGAAATGTAGAAGTAGGTATCTGGTATAAAATATAAGTACCTATTCACCGGAACTGCTTCGTGATTCCCAAGCGCTGGAAATATGGGAATTCCAGGAAACATTTTGAGTAACTGCGCCACAGTTTCCTTTAATATGCTCAAGTTTTCTTCTTTCGTCTGGTTCCAAATATCGTGTGCCGGTAGATCACCCGTCCATATGATGTAATCGATGTCCTTAAATAAAATGTCAATTTATAAGTTTCTGATTTTACAGTTGATTTATTCTGAAATCGCTTACAGTGTGTGTAGCAACAATGTGTTGAAGCATATTGTCAATGGTTCGTTTAGGAGTATCACATTTTCTGTAGTCTCCCCATCTTCCGGCTCGGCTTTGAGGACTAACTGCTGGGCCATTGGTCAAACGGCAACATAAAGGTTCGTTGCACTCGGCATTTGTTCCTTCTTCATAATATGGATCAAAATGTGTGTCGGACAAATGGAGAACTTTGAACTGAGGAACTGGTTCCTAAACATTTTCAAGGTTATCAATAATTTTTAAATGTACAGATTGAATTAGCATTTTTATATCTATATCTATTCCCCATGGATAGTAACTTAACATTCTACTTGCATGACGAATGATTCGCTACGGCTTTTAATAAAGGGGCAACATTTAGGCAATTTCTAATCTTGTCTTAGCCGCCCGGGATCTATGCGTTAGTTGTAAATGATTATTAGCGTGAGTGAAATACTATGCGGATACCACTCGTAGGCTCATGAGCTTGTCGATAATAATATAAAATTCAGCTTTTTACGTCAACTTACTTAGTGTTATGACAAAATTAGAGTTAGTTAACGTTGTCTGATTTTGATTCTGAAAAATGTCTGATCGTACGATACATTTTCAGTTTTTAATTTTAATTATGATTTGAATAAATCAATATTTTCAAGTTTTCAATTACAGTTCACAATAATATAAGATTTAATTTTTAAGACAACGTAAATTAACTTACCTAAGTACTAAGTAGTTAGGTACTACCTAAACCTGTATGTCATATACCAACGATACTGACGATTTTAAAGTTTTAAACCAATAATTGCAGTAATTTGTACAGGTGGTCATAGATACCTAATACCTATATTATATAATATATTGTCCTATATTATATTATTCAGTTTTGAAATATTTTACCTACTGAAACTGATAATAATCGTCATAATTAAATTATTTTTAGTTCGACAAAGTTTTATTGATACCCTGGTATAATGGTATCTAGGTACGTGTTTTAAATATGTTTGGAAAAATATGTGTTAGGTACACACAGTCCATAGTATACCTAACACTGCATACAATATTTATTATTTACTACCTATATATTACTTTTAATATTTTAATTTCGTTCGGAGTGGGTTTGGGAACAGGAGGAAAAACTACATCCCATTCGTGTGTTGGGTTGTACACATCTCCACATGCGTCGCCAATGACAAAGCTGCAGATTTCTTCGGGTCCGATATTTATTCTTTGCAGAACGTAAACCACTTCACCCTATAAAATTAGTAAATCAATTAACCATATAGATTTAGTTATAATTATTTATACGCATATTAGGTATCTCATACCTATTATACATATATTATTATATCGTTATTCAACAATTATCGTCAAAGTGACTTACACTAAATAGTTCGGTAATTCCCTCACAGACACGTGGCGTTTGTAATTTAAAGCTCGTGCAGAACTGATAGGTAATCTTTACAATGTCATCGCGTGTTTTACCGTGTTTTATGTAGTGCTGTAGTAGACCGGCGCCAGCTTTACAAGCGGTACATGACATTTTAGACATAACGCTGGTTTCCACCTCGCCCACGACCTGGTTTAAGTTGAGTAATTGCAACGCTTTGTCCACGAACCCGGGCAGCGCAGCCCGCGAAGCTCGACTGTCTTCTTTATTTTTTCCACCATTAACGTCATAGAAATACTTTGTGTAATTTGCCTGAATAGAGAAAATAAAAACATTTAATACAATATATTACATTTCATTTTGATGTATTATGCAAATATAAATACCGATAATTTTTTTTTTTTTATTATTATTTGAAATTAAGGCTTCGACAACAGTTGTCTATATTTACTGAGGTCATTAGCCTGTTGCTGTGGGGGAGAATACTGTTGGTTTAAACACGTGTGTGTACGAGTGGCAAGGATTTGTCACTAAAAATCCCGGGTGGTCACCCATCCGGGAACTAGTGACACCGGCCGGTGTTTACGCTCAGAGCACATGCATGACTGAATGCAAACACCACACCACCCCGAGCCATACCGATAATTTATTTGTTAAACTTACACAATTTAATACAATTTAATATAATTATGATGCACGAAAATAAGTGATTTATAAATCAACTAATAATAACACGTTTTACGTAATAAGTTTTAAAAGAATTCCTCCACCGTGCAAGAAGTGATGAAGGTCAAGTGATTATTTGGAAACTAATTTTTGACACACATAATATTATTAACCCATTTATATCAATATGTAAAATATGTATTGAAAATTAACGATGCTCTTCACTTAAAATTAAAATTAATTATTGTTACGTGTTATTAAAGTTATTAAATTTAAATAAACTATTTTCTTTTTTAAATAAATTACTTTTAATATTTGAAACTTTCTTAATGTCTCGTTTTCCATTTTTTCGATGTCTGGGGCAGTGTAAACACCAGTTTGGTTGATCACTAGCAATGGCTGATGATTGGAATCTGAGCTCAATAATACTACGTCTTCCCATAGGGACATGTTGTGAGTGGTCCATTGTGGTGCTGTTGTTAGTGGTTTTTCTATTGGAACACCTACAATCAAAATAGCTTGATGATTATGTCATAATAATATACGAGGTTATGAATATATATATATACATATAACGTCTGAGAAATATGTGTTATGTACGTATTAAGTAAAGTAGTAAAATACGAAAAATCTTTTTTTAAAAATATTTTAGTTATAATTAGGGTTCGGATTTGAAGGCAAATGCCTTTCTTTTATTAATCATAATAGAAAAATAATTTTTATACAAAAATGTGTTTCATTTAATTTCTTAGAGAATGGATCTTTTTTTTTTTTGCCTTTTTACTTATAAATGCCTTTTTGCCTTTTTTTACCTTTTGTTTATTTTGCATTAAATTAACTGGTATAACTCAAGTAAGTTAATATTTAAAATTGTTTTTAACTAATTCTTAGGACAAACCTGGTAAAGGTACCAAAAGGTACCTAATCTATTTATACAAAATAGCATAAACTTAATGTAGTTTAGTATTCATGCTCATTTTTAATTTGTATTTTTCTCAAAATGTATGCATTTAAAAGTGTTCAAAAAATTTTCACTATTTTATTTTGTAGTATATTTATGAATTGCCTTTTTATATAAATTAAATGCATTTTTTTGCCTTTTTTTACATTTTAAATGCTTTTTTCATTGATTATATTGCCTTCAAATCCGAACCCTAGTTATAATAATATGTTATTTGATATTGAGAAGACAAATTGCATAAGACAATAATATATTGATGTATCATTTCATACTCATTGTTTATTATTAATCACCTACTGTCTATTGTTTGCTATAAGAAGATCAATATATATTTTTTGTATATAGATACTTAGATACTTATACAATTTATAATGTACCTAACAACACAACATGATTAAATATCTTTAAACTTTTTAAACTTAAATTTAGCTGGTTTAGATTTATAAATATAATGATACAATTTTTCATTTTACTCAATCGTCGTATTTACAAACATATTATAGGTAATTAAAATAATATTTATGATTTGATTCATGAAATTTCAGTTTATAAGTAGAATTTATTAAGTTTCTGAAAAAAAAAAATTTCTTATATCTTATACAAATATACCACCATTTTGAGCAAACCGAGGGATGTAGTTATCTAACTACATTCATCACTTTGTTGATCACATTCTTCAAATTGGTGGCCATTTACTTGATATATGAAGAATGTGTATATTAAATAATAAATAATACCTATTATATTATTAAATTATTAAATACTATAAATTAGTCAATAATTAGCTTTAAAAAAAATGGGGGGAAAATGTCCGCATCAAAAATATATAGGTGGGAAAATGTCCTACTACTCCGAGGAGAATATGTCCGGGGGAGGGGGGGAAATGTCCACGATTTGTTTTAAATAGTTAAGCATTTCAAATGTGGTGTAAGTACTTGTGATTATAAAAATTTATATCTAATATGATTTGTCCTCGCCATTATTGTAGTTATTACCTGCTGTGAAGACTGCACACACAGTAATGAACGTTACTATTTGACGTGACCATGTTGTTAACAGACTGAACTGCATAATATGTTGAGAATCTAAAAACAACAACAGAATAAAAATAATAATAATTAAAAATAAGTTCATGTAGTAATCTGTAATGGATTAGGTAATAATGATATAGTATAATAGTATAATATTATCTTAATATCTAATTTGTCTGTGGTCACATAAATTTGGATACCGCAGGAAGTGTTAGATAAAAAATAAATCATTCATTTAATTCATTATATTAGGAAATATAATGTAAAAGGTGGAGTACAGTCAGTCCACTAAAATCTTAGCTCTTTAGAAAAATATTGTCTCGCCTAACATGTTTGACTCAATTTTTGGAAAGTAGCCACTAGCCAGGTATTACATTTATATTGCATAGATATAAATGTTATTTATAATAAGTAATAACAAGTTATTATTTAAGATACTCAAACAGTCTCAATTATTTCCTGTAAATATAAAGTACTTTATGTTTACATTCTGATAATTTATTAACTGTACGGGCATATTATTAAGTATTATGGTACACTGACATACTCTATACAAACGAACTACCTAAATAGTACATATTATATTATAATAACATAACCTTTATACTTTATAAGTATTCCGGTATTCATATTCGCAACTCATGTTATTGGCATGTGGCCGAGTAGGTACGAAAATATACAACCACATAACACTACAATTTGTTGTTAAATTATTATTGCCTCGATTACCTATATATGATGACTTACGACGGATTTACAACAAATATTAAGTGAATACGTGATAATATTATATTTTTACATACCATTAATACAATAATACCTTTGGATTAAGGAGTAATGGATAGGCAATTTTCGTATAATATTCCGATGCGTCTATTCGTTTTTTGTTGTTGTGATAACTGGTTAGGAGGTAATTTATTTTATTTTATATTAATAGGCTGGCTTGTACCAAGTTAGAAACTAACAAAGTTACATTAATATTAAATATTTTGTATCGAACCGGGGTACTTACCTATGTATATAACAAGGTATTACAGGAAAAAAAAAATAATTTTCCATAATACATTCCTCGCTCCGTTTAGAGCCATAATATAAAACATAATGCGACTAAGATTATTCAAACGTATAAAGATAAACCATGTAAATTATTCACTGATAAAATTTCTTTGATAAAATGACCTAATTTTGTATGTACCTAATAATTGTTGTAATTGTATTAATTTTTATTCATACACTCAGTAGAACAGTGAAAAGTAATATTTTAATCATAGAATTCATTATTTTCGAACAATGAATTAGTTATGATTTAAGAATGATATTACTATAGTAGTGTTTTTTAAAATAACCGTATTAATACAACAATTTAAATGAAAACAAAATTCATGTTTTTTTTTTAAATTGTATTTTTAATATAATATGTATAAAGTTATGAGCTATAATCATATATTATAACCATTTTTTCTAATGAAAAATAAAAATGTATACCTATACCTACTAACAAAATCCATATTAATATTGCCTCGATTAGCAATTTATTTTATATATTATAAAAAAAAATAATTTTATTTATACGAAGTTTATAATAATAAGTTCAGCTATTAGTTCGTAAGAAATGTTTCAAAAAAAAAATATATATATACAATAATATAATATATTATATTAAATTTTGCCCAATAAGCATAAGAAATGAAATTTGACTACCTACCTAATAATTATTTTTACTTTTTATACGACATAATATTGTATATTAATTTTATTGTTTCGTTAATAAACATCTCACAATTTTTAATCGGATATAATATGATTTCCACTTTCTAAGATATGTTTGCGTTTGCGTTTCTTAATTTGTATACTTTCGTGATTAATGATGACCTGATTATAATTTCATAAATTTGTATAGGTACATGTATATGTAATCGGTATTTATATACATAATAATATAATATGAATTTCGTACAAATGTACAGCTCAACTTAATTTTTTATTTAATTATAGTGGTATTTTCATGAAGAGTTATGCAAATATGATTGGATTATATTTGTTATTTGGCCATTAGTTGGTGCCTTTAAAGTTTAAATGGTAACTAATATGGATAATATACGAATCAGTATAATCCGGTATTAGGAATTAGGTACTTGAAAATCTGCTTCACGATCATTCGACAGTTGAAATTTGTTTTAGTTGTTGATATTCGTTTATTGACATTTTGAAACAACGCTAATAGTTTTGTTGAATTTATACATATTGTTATTCAAGTACTTACTTATATAGTTAGATTATAAAAGGTAATAGATTAGGTAGTTAAATTTATATAAGGCTAAAAAGAAATGGATTACTGTATTATAATGGTTAATAATATCTATAATATATTCTAAGTAGGTAATATAATATAGTCTATATTATATTTTTGAAAATTCTTTTGAAAAGAATTGTCAGCAAATAAAAATATTTTTTTTCTTTGTTTTTAAAAATGTTTATTCAATAATAATATAGCAACAATAAAATAATAAAATAGTATAAACGATTTAAATTTTGCTTTATAGCACATCCTCTGAACCAGAGCAAAAAATGATTGAACAAAAAAACGCCAATGAAATTTAAATTTAATAATATAATAAAATAGTCAACAATAAAACAGGAAATAATATTTGAATAAATGCATACTATAAGTTGACTATTCTCCATTATTCGTACATACACGTATTATATATAGTGATGTATACTGAAGTCTGAAAATTGCAATAGGTGCTTGTCGCTTAAATAAAAAGTTAAAAGATAGAGGTATCAGCCATTATATGAATAGTACCTACGTAATACGCATTAAGTATATATTAAGTAGTAACCATCAACGACTTAAAATCAATATTGTTATTTATTTAAACTGTTTAATAATACATAGGACATTATTAAAAGTCAAGGTGAAAGCAATAATTACATACCAGCTATATGCTTATATAAACACGTGGTATTTTTTGTTAATATCTTTAATAATAAATTGATCTATATTTTTTAATGCGTATGATAATTTAAATACGTGGGTGAATACCTATATATCATATTTTATTATGTTGTAATGTGTTCGTAGTACCTATCCTTTACCTATTTAAAATATTTGAGAATATCGTGTCATAATAATTGATTGAATATCTTTTTTTATTTATTTATAACTAATATATTACCCCTAGGCGGATAGATAGGTTTTTGGAATTTTGAATACAATACGTTTGGTTTTATATAAATGTGACCTGACCAGACGGACCTCTTATGTGTAGACGGGTAGTATCCATATGTACAAGATTTAATTTTTGTTCATAAAAAGTTTTTATACACATTGCAGCTATATTTCTATAAAATGCATTTTACTAATTAGGTTGCAATAAATAATTTTTAATATGATTTATGCGTGTGATCGAACTATATACAGAAAACCTAAATGAGTATAGTCTAGTATACCTATCTGTCTTATATGTGCCTTAAATTTTCTCCTGTTATCAATAGTATGAAACGTGTACAAACACGTATGTTTCTCTTTTCTACATGCCACTAATCATTAAAAATCGAAAACAAACAACAATCCGTAATGATCTCGTCAAGCATTTTATACATATAGGTAATACAGATAAAAGTATAAAAGTAACATTTTTCGCATCTTTCGAGTTTCACTCTTTTTATAATAATTGTTTGTGCTTGTATGAGAAACTGGTGAGAAGTAATGATTATCTACTATGATTACTAGTGTGCATTATATTTTCTCGTTTGATAATATTTTGTAAGTTCTACAAACGTAAAAGTTTGATATTTTAATTAAAATTAAAATTAACGAATTTCGATTTTTAATAGATTTTATTATCTAGTTGTACAATAAAATAAGTATATATTATTCTAGTATTAGTTAATTATCATTTTTCTTATTATTTTACACAAAAAAATTAAATTTAGTAAATCTTGCCATCTTCAAATATTCGAATTTATAAAGAAAAAATATAAATAAGAATAAGAAATTATTATTTATAAGAAAAAAATAATTGATTGTTATTCAACTACACATTAGAATAAAATAAATTGGTAAATACATGTGTATAAAAATATAGGTTATTGGGCGCTAATGTCCTTTTCTGTCGAGTACAAAAAAAATCTTCTTGGTTTAAATATTATACCTGTGTTTTATTGGTATTTACGATTTATCTATGATTTAAATGTTTGTCACAACTATCTAATACAATAATTGATTATAATATAATAGATGCCAACTTTAAGACTAGACCTACAGGCTACAGTGAATTATGATTTATAGTTAACATAACGCTAACTATTTTTAAAAACAGTAATTTATTATTTTTGATGTGTAATTTTTTTATTTTTACCCATACCATTCAACTATGATTTATGATTATAAAATTATATTACGTATTTACGTTTTGCATCTTAATATATAATATACAAAATTGTATTTGTGTGTATTGAGAATAAAAATAATATACCACAAGTCAATGGCCCAGCTGCCATGACTTAGCATCAATAATAAAAAAAAATAAATATACCTTGTAAAATAAATATTTGATGATGTTTGTTTTTTATTTTTTTGGTGAGTCCATTAGTTTTCATATTATAAATTTCTTTATAAATGCAATTTAATGAAAACAACATCATTGGAATTTCGTTCAGATTTTTAAAAAGTTAAGTAATAATCTAAAAACTATTAACCATAAACGTCTGTCGTCTAAATTATACGTGAGTTAAAAGATGATGTCTTTAGTACAGAATTCGTCCTTGACCATTCGTAATACTTGTAGTAGGGTATAGGTAGGTATAGTGTAATGCTATGGCGCCGTGCTACAATCGTCTGAATCCGATCAATCGCACGCCGTTCTCCTTTATATATTGATAATATTTATAACGGTATTAATATGTATTTAATAATACGCGTTTCATTTGACCAAATAACCTTTTAAAAACATAATCAGGGTCACGTCATCACATACGAAAATAGTAAATATTGCTTCACGTCTGATAAAAATAATATTCGCAAACATATACGTA